GGAGACCTTCATAAAATAAACAAATACATAAATAGAAGCAATTAGAAACAATTTGCTGCTACCCAGATGCAAATATGCAAAGCAGTGCAATTCTTCCTGCCCAAAAGATAATTCCCCAATATCATGTTTCTTACCCTCCCACCTATAAAAGATGCCCCCCCACCCCCGAAGCCTGGATGACTTGTTTTCAGAAAGTGCTAAAAACAGCCAAAAAATATTTGGAGTCTTAATGCATTCTGAGCTCTGTGGATTTGTGATTTATTTAAATCAATATATGACCCAAGATTATTGTGTGTATCTTTTTATATACACATATATATTTGAATTATATTTACATTTGAAATAGATGTAGATACATCTTTCCAAAATGAATCCATGTTTTTTGCATTAATAGAATGAAGACATCAGGCTCAGCAGAATTTTTTACTATGGTTTTTACTTAAGAGTGTCCTAAATGCCATAATTTCCAAGAAACCTTTGAATTACCAAGTGAGTTGTATCAGTTTAATGAGTCCTCCTGTCAGGAAATCCACTGACACTAGTGCAGATTTTGAGGTTGCCATGAAGATAAATGCATGAACTCTTCTGCAAGCTGTTTTGATTTAGGGAAAGGATGCTCTTATTAGTCCAATATTTACACACCTAAGGAATAGATGCAGATAATAATTTAAGTTCATAGTCAGTCAAACACAGCTGTCCATTGCTTTAAAATATATGAAGAAATAGAGTGGGCTGACTTACAGGCTCAGATCATAGCATCCATCTATACCTTTGATAAAATATGAGTAGGTAAATAAAACTGCTATGGAGCTTGCTATTTTTGTAAAAAGTGTAAGATATAATAAGATGTAGTTATATACACATTGCCTCTTCCTCCTTGCCTCTTCCTCACTGCCCTCTGTGATTGCATTCAAATCACATCTGGCCATTGTATATACAAGTATGTTCTGATACTGTCAGTGTTACAAAGCTAACAAACAGAAAGAAGGAGCTGGGCTTGTCTTATCCACAGAGTCATTTGGTACCTGGGTGCCTGAACAAACCACCCCCATGAATGTAAGGTGATTTTGTTAGGTTACAACAGGAAGGACCTTTTCTGAGCATGTTACTAGCAGAGGAAAGCGTGGGTTTGGACAAGAGTTGGTCTTCGAACAGGCCTCATGGGATAACAAGAGATGTATGGGAACCATCTGGGCAGTATGAACAAAATAAATATAGAAAAGCAATCTGAACATGACAAGACACAGAGGGGAATAATTCAGACTTCAGCAGAACTTATGATTCCTCTAAGGTCCATGATGCAGGCTCCATTTACCTTAGCAAGAAGCTTGGTGCACTAGAAGCAGAACCACAGTGTAGAAAGTTGGTGCTCAGGATACAGTCCCCAGTCTGTAGGCACCTGAGGATGTTTTACTTCAAATTAGCTTTAATCTGCTCCTATAGATTGAGAGTCCACTGGCTGATGAAGCATGAGGTGAACTCCTGGAGAGCTTAGTTTCAGATCAGTTTCCTCCAAGAGAAAGGCCATGGAGCTCCAAACTGCAGAGACCAGCATACAAGGTGAGGCCCTCAGAAATCTCTTCAGACCCACACACCCAATGAAAACCTCAGCATAAAATTCCACCTTACAAGATATAGAGGAGAAATACAAAGTAAAATGCCTGGTAGAAGCCATACATGGCAGCTAGAGGAAGTGTCCACATCTGGACAAATGATACCTATAGATGTGTGCTAATGTTTCTGTGGTTTGGGGTTTGGTTTTTTTTAACCATTTCCTACATGCCTGGGTCTCTCTTCAGCCTCTGGAATTAAGTATCTTAGAATGGTGATAAAGAGGACAATATATATGCAAATTGTTATTAATTTTATAGTATTTATATAGAAATGTGAACACGTGATTAAACAGCTTTACCATGGGAACAGTGGCATTTATTTTTTAAGTTTCTGTGGGTAAATTATGACAGCAGATGTCTACAAAATGGAGATCTAACAAAAAATATATCAGTGTCATATGGAAAAAAAAATAAAAATGTGTATAGCTCTGGGCCAGGGTTTAAGCCCTCCCTTCTGATCTTGCATTTGACTACCAGGCAGATGGATCTCACGTTCACTTTCAGATTTTATGGGGGGTTTTTGGACTGCAGTTGGAAAAAAAAAAAAATCCAGCTTCTAAACTGAGATGATCTGGCAAGTTACTGAACAACAGTAAAGATGAAAGTACAGGATTTTTTTTCCATGGTCAGTTTTCATGTACATCTATATATTGTTTTAAACAAAAACATCTGCTTTACTGCCACTACTCAAAGGCTTTCTTAAAGGCTGGGATATAATTCTTTACAAATGCTGGGTTTTATTAACATTCCAGTTAGCAAACAGATGTGATAATCAATTGTAACAGCATATGATGAGAGAAGTTGGAATTCTGATATGGATATGTGTCAAACTGTGGATGCTCCAACCTACTTTTAAAGGCAAGGATACACCTAGCATAGAAACAAAGCTGGGAATCTTTTCTCTGGGAAAACACAGGTACAAGGTCCTACCCTCCTCAGATGCCAGTGATTTCCCTTAACCTTTGGAACAGGATAATGCAGGTTTGCCAAGCTTTCCCTTGGGCAACTTTCCCTTTTTTCCTGGGGAAACTAAAAACACAGCAGTGCCTCTGGGTCTAATTTGATGTCTTATTCCAAACACTAATGCTCCTGGCACCACGTTGTCACCCGTCCGTGTGCCACGTGCCTACAAACACCAGTTTTTCAACCACCCTCAAGCCTTTCGCTTATCAGCTGGTGGAAACAACGCCTGCTGGTAAATTATAACTACTTTTGCAATGGTTATTTTCTATCAGATGGCTGCAAACACCCTTGACTGGAACCCTGAAAGAGCCCATTGACCCTGAGAGCGATGGAGAAGCCCTGGAGCCCAGGGTCTGGTTACTTCAGTCTGAGCAAGATGAAAGGGGAAGGTTTGGGGGTTGGTTGTGGGGTTTTTTGTTGGTTGTTTTTTTTTTTATGAAAAGAATGAAAAGGAGGTGGGACAAGAAGAAAATGCTTCGCCAGGAGGGTTTCTAAGGAAAACATCACCCGCTTCAGCAGGCGCTGTTGTTAGCAACCGGCACACGCAGCCAGGGCGAGGGGGAAGATGGATGGTTTTTTTGGGGTGCACCCCATCTCCCAGCCCCCTGCTGCAGTGGCGGGGGTCAGCCTGTCTCTGCAGGTGCCTGCTGGCAGCTGGGGAACAGGGACAGCTGCTTTTTCCCTCCTTTTCCCCCCTCCTGCTCAAACTCGCAGCCCGCGCCGCAGCCCGACAGCGGCCCAGCCGGGCCTCCCCTAAGCCCAAATCGCCTCCAAAGCTTCATTTGACGTTTTATCTCGTTTCTTACGAATCCACACAGCTCCTGTGATGTCAAAGAACACACACACACACAAAAAAAGCACCTATTTTGGCAGCGACAGGGGCAGAGATGGGGTGTCACAAGAGGGGTGCTGGGCGCTGAGGGCTGTGGCGTGAGGGGCCGTGTGAGGGGACAGGCAGCCCGGGGCGGGGAGC